TCCAAACTATTCTGGACTCCACACAGCGCAGCAACCTCTTTTGCGACTGTTATTTCTCCCAAACCATAAATGATAAAAATGTGATTCCAGTGGGATTTTAAAGATACGTAAGTCTAGTTGGTCTAGTTATCTCCATTAAATTTTCACGATTTTTGGACGTACGTATATTGAGATATATGATAAAGAACACAAATTGCCCCAGAAAACAGAAACAACAGAGACAGATAAAGCGACCCCAACTATATTTTTCAACTCAAACTTATGGTTCTTAACTATGGGATTTGTGGACATGCCCACAATCTCCCAACAATCATGAAAACTCCAAATCAACCAATTTCACAATCACAAGCAACTAAGCAAATAAAGTCTCACAAGACACACCTCGACTCGACTCGATTCGCAACTAACATCGTTTTTATTACAAATATGGCATCATAACTCTAAGGGGCGGTGTTGATGACGGTAAACTATGGGGGCTTCTTCTCATAGAGCGGGGGCAATCCAAATTGAGCCCTCAAGGCATCATTCTCCTTCTGGAGACGCTCCACGGTCCTCTGCGCCTCATGTAACTCTTCTTTAAGGTCTTCATTATCCATTTGCATCACATGAACAAGCCTGACTATTGCGTCCAAGGTGGGATCACTGTTTTGGGGATTTTGAATCACCCAAGTCCCATCATTTGGATCATGGTGAGGAAGGAACCTAAACCGATACTCCTTCATGGCCTCATACCGTCGACCATGATAGTGGATGTAGGCCTCCTAAGCTACGTCCTCCATACTATCCATTGACTGAGCCCGTCTGGCTATGTGGGTATGAATAGTCTCCACCTTCTGACTATCCCCGGACTCATTCCAAATCATGATGGACAGATCCGTGTTCTAGTACGTGGCCTCCAAGGGGTGTGTATGCTCAACACAGTAATACGTGAGGGTGGCATTGAAGTCAGGGTAGTAGTCTTCTAGCATGTTGAGGAGCAACGAATGGTAGTAGGCCATGTCTGAAGCATACTTGAAGTGGCATGTGCTGGTCCAACCTAGACCATCCTCCACCTCTGGAGCAGCTGGTGCCGGCACCTGTACCGCTTCCTCTGGATGTGGCTCAAGTGCTGGTGCAGGAACTGGTGCAGGAGCTGGTGCTGGAGCCGGTGCTGGTGCAGGAGCTGGTGAAGGAACTGGTGAGGTGATCCACTCCTCTTCATCTTTCTCGGTGAAGTCCTCCATAAGCACGGGGTCCTCCTCAAGCACTGGGACATCCTCATCATCTGAGATGACCACGATCTCCTCCTATGGCACCTAGGGTGCAAACAGAGCATGCGCTAGGTAGTAGCCTCCGGTGCTGATGCGAGCGGTCTTCTTGGCACGAGGCATCTATAGATTTGGATTGAGATGAATTAGAAACAATGAATTTTAATAATAGAATAAAGTGAAAGAAGCATAATAATTTTTAGCAAATAACAAGACTGAAGTAGTAAGCATGAATAAGTGAAGCAAAGGATGCTAAAATGACCATCTCTAACTAGGCTTGCGTCTTACAGTCAACACGGCTTTGATACCAATCTATCACACCCAATTTTAAGGATAAAACAGGATGCATAAATCTTATGTGCGCCAAGATCAGTCACGCACATGAGCTGACAAATTATAGAGTATCATCACAGTGTTTATTACATCACGAACAATAATCCATTACAATAATAACAAGTCTATCATGAAAGCGGAAGAATTAGGTAACTACTCTCCATGAGAGCCTCAAACTCCATAGGGATGTCGACCGGTGAAGCATAAGTCTAGTAATCCTCAGGGTAGTCCTTATAAACACTTCTATCTGTTACCCATCCAGGATTTTTATCCAAATAATGAAAATAAACAAGCGTAAGTACATCTCGTACTCAACAAGAACAACATGGGTTTATGAAGCTCAGAAGGCTGACACTAGTATACTGTGATTAGCATTTTAATATGTCAAGGTTTTAGCACTATATTAGCATTTAGTTGTGCTTAAGCCCCAATTAAACCACATGATCATAAATAGGAATAATATTCATCATTAGAATTGTCATCATTAATAACATCATCATCATCAAGTGATCACTATTCCATCAGTTTTTTGGGCCGCTCGTGTCCGTGAGCACGGCTGTTATAACAGTTTTTAATACTCTATAGAGTTTGTACATCTTTACCCAAGAGCCATAATTTACCCTTTCACCCGTGGTAGGTAATCTCTTGACCCCCTCCCTAGGTAGGTCAGCAGGGTTCACTATGAAGCCTTTCAAAGGTTTTCCTAACAAATTAGTAGCCGCTAGGTTTCCCCGGCAAGGGAATATAGAGCCCCTCTTCCGACTGGCACATTCCACGTAGGCTATACACATAGGGACAGAGGCCGCACTATACTCAGCTCGGCAAGCCCCATTTGCGCCCTTTCGGGTAACTACCAACAAGCTATAAAAGATCCTGCTACTGAGCTAAAGCTAGACCCATGTGGCACCCTCGGTTGTATTGTATGTCCCAACTTTTACCAACAGATAAGTCCTTTTGGAGGGCCTAGAGCATCTTGTACAAAAGCCAATTGCTCTCTCGCCCTATCATCTAGTTGCTAAGAGCAAGTTTTACCATTCGTTCCATAGTACCATTAATCATCATTTAGATCATGTATAGCTAATTTGAGCGCTAGCAACTACCCATATCTCGTTCGACCCCCAAAGGTTGGCTCTGCCTCGCCCAACACCTGAGGGCTGGCTCCGCCTCGCCTGACGTCTAAGGGCAGACTCCACCTCGCTCGACCCCCAAAGGTTGGCTCCGCCTTGCCCGACCCCTAAGGGCTGGCTCCGCCTCGCCAGACATCTGAGGGCATACTCCATCTCATGCGAGACCCAAAGGTTGGCTCCACCTCGCCCGACCCCTAAGGGCTAGCTCCACCTCGCCCGCCCCCCAAGGCTGGCTCCGCCTCACCCAATGTCTGAGGGCAGACTCTACCTCGTCCAACATTCGGGGGCTAGCTGTGCCTCGCTCGATGTCTGAGGGCTGGCTCTGCCTCACCCGATGTTTGAGGGTAGACTCCGCCTCGCCCAACGTCTGAGGGATGGCTTCGCCTCGCCCGACCCTCGAGGGATGGCTTCGCCTCGCCTGACATCCGAGGGCTGGCTCCACCTCGCCCAACGTCTGAGGATAGACTCCGCCTCGCCTGACCCCTGGGAGCTGGCTCCGCCTCATCCGATGTCCGAGGCCAGGCTCTGCCTCGCCTGACGTCTGAGGGCAGGCTCCGCCTCGCCCGATGTCTAAGGGCAGACTCCGCCTCACCCAACGACTACGTGCTGCTCCTTCATAACTACGCGTGCAGATAAGGTGGGGCACTCAAATCAACCATAATACCAAGGACCATACCCTACACGCCTACAGGATAGTACCATCAGGATATGACAAGACAGGCGCTTTAAGCCCTTCTAGGCATGTCAGAGCCCAAACAGTGTTGTGGGCGCTGACATTTGTCTTACAGTGTTATGGGCGAAGGCATTCGTCCTTGGGCACGGATCCTGACGGAAGCATACAACAACCACTATGGTCTAGGAGGAAACTCATATCATCTACAATAACGGACATGGGGTCACTGCGTCGTCTGCTCCCCGTAGGGTCACGGTTCAGCACCCTAGTCCGTCGCGCCGCCCGCTAGAGCAGGATGGGACGTGACCACTTGCTGACATAGCCAGAGTGCGGCCCTATCAGGATCATCGTACATGCACCTAGCATGGAGCTATCCCTAGCACCGTCTGTTGTGTCAGCAGGACTCGCTCAGAGGAAAAGGAAGGCCCGGCATCTTTGAAGGACCTCCTTCGACTCTGGTTTTTCTTCTTTCTCCCATCTGTAATCCCTGCTTCCCCTTGGTCTATAAAAGGGAAGGTAGATCACCCCACTAGAGGGATCGATCCCAGACACATCACACCACATAGCTAAGTAGCATCCAAGCTCTCAGCACCCATTCGACCTTTCCATCAGAGACTTGGGACCTATCCCTCTCGCCAGTTTTGTACCCCCTACTATGAACCTTTCAGTGCGAATAACATGAGTAGCAACCATGAACTGGGCGTAGGGACATTCCACCTGAACCAATATAAACCTTGTGTCTTTTTAGCACACCATCCGGGCCAAACGCGCAATAATACAAATTTACTTGTTGGCGTTTACTCGAAACACCGACACATCTCTGGGATTGTTTTTTCTTGGGGCCATTCTCCAAGTATAGGACTTGATGTTAGCTCTCACCTAGAACCAAGTTTTTTTTACAACATTTTAAATGTCCACAACCAACCCTATAACAATTGCATTTTGTTTCTATCTCAATATGATGTTGTTATATGTTTTATAGATGAAGGCCATAAGTTAAGGTTTAGAAAGGTACTATTGAAAGGTTTACAATCCTTTATGTCAAATGAACCAAGAATTTTTGAAACTGCTTTTGGAGCATAACTGTGTTACAATATATTGGTTTCGACTTCTTGAATTCAATCTTAAATTTGTGTATTATGTTTTACATCTCTTTTGCACATGTTGAAACTCTCTAATCATGAATGTTGTTAATATATATCAGCCGTATACTCAAAGATGATGGCAAAGGTGTTAATGAGCCACTTGGTGAAGTTGTTTGCTTGGATGGAAGTTGCAAGGGGCTCACAGTATAAATTTAGTGACGATATTGATGTTGCCTTTGTATTTTCCACTAACACCAAACTATTTATTTGACAATTGTTACTGAAACTATCTGATCTAAAAAATGACAGGTGAGGGGAACATACTATGTCAATGTTGACAAGCTAGGGCATGGAGCTCACTGCGAAGAACATATGGCCAAGAAGTCTATTCACCCTATCTTCTTGCTTTTATCCATGAGGTATATGGCTTTTATTATGTCTATATGATGCTTTTATGTGGTTCCACAGGTAATCATTCTTGTTATTACAGGATGAGACAAGTTGGAAATCATATAATGTTGCCAAAGAAAGCACGATGGATGAGAATTACAGTCTTCCTGATAATGTTGCAATTATTACCTTGCAGGTATCATAATGCTCTTCGTTCACTCTTAGCTCACAGAGAAGTTTTTGGCATACATCATATTAACGACATAAAAACATTAACAGAGAGAATTGAACTTTTCAGATTCTAGATGATGGCACCACATTACTCCGCTTGGCCCACCTGTTTCAGGTGTATTAGTATTTTATAAAATAGTGTTTTCTTTTTATTTCTACTATATAATGAATCAATAATTAATCTTTATCGAGTCTCCAGGCTATAGAGGACCCTCAGTATTCAGTGATAGCAAAAGTTGAACTAAGAAAGGTGTTTGGAAAGAGAACCGTAAGTAAAATTATTGTTGCAATTCATTCTTTTGGATGCATATTTCTTGTGCAAAATAATTATATGGTAGTACTATATTCTGTTCTAATATGCAGATCAAGGAATTAGCTAAGACTAACCTTTCTGCTAATCAAAACAAGTCAGAGATGAAAAAACTCAACTGGAGAGTAATCGAGAACAATAAAAGTGATCCTATCCCACTGAAAGGTGGTCCAGTTGACAGTCAAGCCCTTGTCGTGGAACTCGGACCCATGGAGATACGCACGTTCTTGCTAAAGTTCTAGATTGCATATACTTAAAGTAATTGCCTAGTTTATAAAGGGGAAAAGAAACATCAGTGTACAAAAAAGGATGAATCTGTATCCTTTCAGGCCTTTTTCAGGGTTTGATGTGGATTGTGATAGATTGACTGGGATTGAACAAAATTGTTAGTTTTGTCTATCTGATACATGTATCTTCTCCATGCCAATATCTAAAAGGATCAAATGTGAGACACTTCCAACAAGTTACATATATAAAAGAAAGAGAAGAGGTATATGTATAAAAAGTTTCATCGGGGAACCACCCTAGAAATCAGAAGCTAGGACCCATTTGGCTCTTGTTGGTCTTCAATTGCCTGGGCAGGAGGACATGGGTACCAGTTGTACATTCTACTCGCCACTTCCATGCATGTATTTCTCAATTCACCCTCTAGCTAGCTAGGCTCTCATTAGACTTTTTTTCCTAAGAGTTCTTGCCCCAAGCATGCATATTGAACTCATAAATCTTGATGTTGTGGGGTGTATGTTAGAATCTGATACCCCAACTTATGCATAGTAGCTCCACGATATTTGAAAAGGTATTGAGCGCATGACAGAAGCTTGAACCATATCAGGAACAACGTAAGTGACTGAGATAGAAAATCGTAGATGACGATGTTTAAGCAAGCACAACAAGAGATTAGGATTTAATGAAGTCGACCACCAATTCTATATATAAGCACAACTCTAGAAGAGTAAAGTGATTGGTGTTCTCTCATAAACCTACTTGACCCTTAAAGACATTAATCCTTGCCCAATGCAATAATCTAGAGCAATAGAACTTTCTATCCTAATCCTCCTGAGCGCTCCCTATTCTTATAAGACTTGGATAAGACCCATGTGTTGACTTGTTTGATGCCTATGGCATCTACCCATTGTTTATATAGTCCTCTCCAAGGCTCCTACTCCTAGTAGGGTTCTACACTCAAGTTCTAATAGAAATAGAAGTCCCTAAGACTGTAATAAGCTAGCTCATGAGCTTGCGTCGGTTGGCTGTAAGTTACCCAATGGCCTTCATGCTAGTTGGGATGATGTACCTCAACATCTTGAGGATTTGGTGTCCAGCGGTTCAGTTGTGACAGAGGACTAATGAAAAATCTCTGTTTCAAACAAAAAAGAAATAGAATTCGTAATAGCACACCTCTTTTGAATCCTAGTCTAGTTAGGATTTGAATCACCATACCACAATGTCCACATTGAAATTAATCCTTTGAAGTCACCTTTCTCCTCCAACAATTCGCACCAAGTTAGCTCCTTTTTTATTTATACTCCCACCTTGAGAGTGCCCCTACCACAAGGGCTCATGCACATCACCACAATGTGCGTGTCAATGTCCAGGCTAGGGTGTCTAAACCTTCACATGAGAGCTCCTTCATTCTATAGTTTGGTTAATGACACCACCTTCTCCTATGGCCCTCCATGCCATAGGTTTGTACCACCTTCAAGCTCCACCTGCTCGCTAGTACTATAAGGTCACACTTCTTCCAACACCTTGTAGCTTCGCCTCTATGACTATTAGTTTTTGGAACCGTCTTTACAGCCTCGCACTTGACCACGATTGGGATTTGAATACATGTTGTTGATGTGATGACTTTCTTCTTCCCATGGTTGCACCACACTTAAGATTTTCTATCTCTCAGTATCCTACATTAATCCAAATATTTTTCATAATTATCTATCCTTTTCATGTAAGTTGCATGACTCCACCTTGAAGTGATAAGCCACAACCTTGAAGTTCTAGAGAGCTCACAGATATTAAATTCTTTTTCAAGCCCAAGATATACCAAACTCCCATCAATGTGCAACTCCAATGTAAATGTTCCCACCTCCTTGTAATCCGCTAAGTGAATAGTTCCATTCGCTACCAAACATATATGGAAGAAACTCCTTGAATCTAGTATTCACTCATGAGTGTTACCTAGTTGACCAACGTTAAATACATCATTTTCATCCTCACTTGCTACTGAGCATGCTCCTCTCATAGTCTTCAAACTTGGAAAATCTTTATCATGTGACCCTCCTTGTCACATAGGTAGCATGTAAGTTGTCCCTTGCTCTTGCATTTCTTCTTCCCACGATTATCTACATTTCCTGCTCCAACTAAAATAATAGTCAAAGCTTGATCACTCAAGAATGAAGATTTTTGCGACTTCTTTAAGGACTCCACCTGTAATAGGTATGCAACTATTTCATTGAAGTAGGTATGCAACTATTTCATTGAAGTTGAGAGTAGTTTTCCTGACGAGAATATTCATCACTTACTACTCCCATGATGGTGGTAAGGACGACGCCAGTATGACGACCTTACCGTTCTTCTCAATTTTCTCATCCACACTAACTAGTTGCGTGACAAGCTTGTTGAAGAAATTTAGATGGTCAATGAATCATGTACCTTTCTCCATGCATAACCTGAACAGTTGACACTTCGGTATCCAATGATTTGTCAATGCCTTTTCCATATACCACTCTTCTAAGGTCTTCCATAATTTCGTCGGTTATTTCTACTAGATTACCATGTCTTTTACCTCAACAAAAAAAACATAGTTGAATTATATTAATACCTTTTGCTCCATCTCCTTTCCATTAAGTTTATCTACTTGATTCCACATCCCTGATCTTGTCTTAAATTTGTGCTTCCTAGCCTTGCTAATCACAAAATCAAATCAATCCAACCTTAGTTTTGGTAGCACTTGTAAGAATCTGATACCCCTACTTATGTGAAGCAGCCCTCAGATCTTTCAAATAATATTGTGAGTATGGCATAAGCTTGCACCGTATTAAGAATGACGTTGACAAATGTAGTACAAAACCATAGATGAGGATGCTGAAGCAACCATAGACAAGATATTAGGATTTGGTGAAGCCAACCATAAGCCCACAATTTCTATAAGCATAAGTCTAACAGAGTGCAAGTGATTATTGCTCTCTCGCAACCCTACTTGACCCTCTAGGACCTACTAAATATACAAGGAAATGATAAAATCATTCTCATTTTTCTTGATGTAAATTTGCTTATGATATTACGATATGTTTTGGTTCCATACTAAATTTGTTATTTTCTGAGAAAAGTTGAGTGTTATTAAATTTCAAAAGTTATTAAATGACAAAGAAAACTAGAGTGTACACAATAAAACATTTTAGTTTTGCCTTCCAAACTTTATATGGTATTTAAATTCAAAAGTGCTCACATGTGGGGGTCCACCACATTAATTTACCTAAATCGAGCGTCATCCATTTGATCGATCCGATTTAAGCAAATTAACCTCGATAATCCCCGGGAGATGCCATCCACATCTCCACAAACACTAGGATCCTGATTGCGTATCATACCACAATAGCCCCCAAAAATCAAGATTCCATCTCAACAAATGATTACATAAATCAGCGGAAAACATATACATTACAAAGTCTTGTTGAATTAACAATTTAATTGTACAATACAAATGAATGCATTAAATAAACTAAGTGTAGTGAGAACCAGACAACTGTCTTACCATATGACTGCTACTCTACAAATTAATTATAACTAGTAACTGGTGGTCGCCTTGCCCATGGGTGTCGCCACCATAGCTTGGACAGCTCTTGCCATTCACCCACTTTGTCAGCATCGATGGGATGACATGGCCGTCAATGTCCTATAGGTAACTACAAAACAACTTAACGAATGCACCATGAGTACTAAAGTATACTCCATAGGACATGCCCGATATATATAAACAACAGATTATGCATTTGGCATTAGCAAGGAATAAAAGTTTGTTTTTGTGAATTGAGCAAGGAATAAAAGTTGGGTTGCATAAAGGAAATATTATCTATCAACTACGTCTAAGTATAGCAAGATATAGCATATATGAGCATTAACCATAAATTGGAGCTCGATCTTCCACAAGTCCTTCAATGTCTCAACTTTGAATCTAGGAGTAAGAACAACCAATCCGTCCAAAGACTTCAGACATTCAAAGAAAACTCTGCAGAGGTGTATAACTGTACCCACACGAAAGATGGGACGAACCTCCATACCCGTGCTCGAGTAAGGGTTGCCTTATTCTCCAACCTTTTAATAGTGTGGCCAAGGATGGCCATGAACGATACGGCGACGGCTCCAGGTAATGGCTTCCCATCTACACCATGACCCGAGGTACCGAGGTAATGATATCTCATCTACCCCGTGTCACCCCTCCACACTGAATCCATGGGAAAACCGGTCACCACTAGCTACTTGTCTTGCTGAACCCATCACCAACATGTGGTCAATACGGGGGTTACTCAAATTCACTACGACAAAGATACGGTCTTTAACTGACCTAGTGAGCTACATCATCGAAGACCTCTCCCGTATTTCCATGACCCAACCCCTTGCTAGCCATCAAGTCAAATTCACCATATAACATAGATCAAGTTTTAGATCATTGCTCAATTTAATGTTGATTTGTGGACAAGCAATCCCTATAACTCGCGAATGGTGAGAAATCCATCACCAATTCATCTTCTACCGTATCTAAGCAAACTAAGCATGTGTTACATTTAAAATTATAAAACTATCAATGCTTCAAGGTAATTGGAATGAACAACAAGGGTAGAGGCTCAACTAGGTGTTCATGGGATCTAGTCATATTGTAACATAGAGATGCATATACATACACATAGTCAATTATGCAATTGTAAAAAGAGATAGGATGCTTAGGTTCCTGCCAAGTGGACGAGCAATGTTCCAATAGCTTGGACCATTACTCATCGCTCCGATATCGCCTACATGAATGTATGCACATGTATGAGATGTCATAATCATGTATGCAAGATTTTATGTAAAGTATAAAAGAGAGAGATGAGAGTACAAGATGAGAGGGCTTGTGTAGTTCAACTCTTAGGTGAGTGCAAGGTGCAATAAATAAATATGATGCTCACGTTTGGATATGATATGCTTGGACATGGATAGGATTAAGTATAAAAGACCTAGTACTAGGTGTGTGCAATATATGTGTTAA